AGTATAACTTTTCTACAATGATATGAGTAGAGCTGACGTTTCCATTGAATTTCACATAGCCTCGCTTTCCCAAAAGTTTTTCTCATCCAGGATGGACTGCAGCTTCGACCTCGCATCGGTCTTATCAGCACCCCCAGCGGGAGTTGGACCGTGACAGTGCAGAATGGGAGCTTTACACGTTAACTACTCGATTACAGGGCAGATGTGAATGTCAAGGAAGACTTAAGGGCACTTGGGGCAATGTTGCCCAGTGGTGGAGCAGATTTATGCCAATTTAACAGACTTGTATAGAGACTACGACCACACAAAAGGCCAAACCATCTTGGTCTTCATACCTTCGATTAACAGACTTGGTTTATACAAATGTAAGATCTGGCTTCAGTGGGAAAGGACGATTTATAATTCAACTTTTGAGTAAGACACTCAATTAGGGGGTTGGATGAGCAGGCTTAGGATGTAAACCCCCAATAATCTGAAGTCCTTTTAATAAATATTATACTCAAATGTTGATTTGCATAAATTTCTGGAGCCATATTCTTGCATGCCTGTGGGCCTCTAAGGCGAGTTAACAGAGGCTCAAAGAGCTAATAGCATGTCTGGTGAAACATAATCGTTGCCTAGGGGACACATGGCTTTTAACTAATACATTATGCATGAATGTACTATTCTGAAGGTCTTTGGAAAACTCTTTTCTAAGTTTCCGTCTGGCAGAATATTTTTTCAGAGACCATACCCCTTCTTCATTAGCTCAGTTTACACTCCCTTATGAGTTGTCAGGCCTTTATTTTGACAATATTTATGAAGAGAAGATAGGTTTTAAACAATCTTTTGGTGTTTTCATATTGTTGTCGTAACCTGGTCTCACAAGCATTAAAGTTGAGTTGCCACCTCTCTGTGAGTGTATGGTACAACAAAAATAAAGTGTAACAGTTGAGTTAAGGTAAGTCAACCTCATGCTAAGCCTTCCCAGCCAATACCCTGTCAATACTATCGTCAAGTTTATAGCAAGTCAAGTTTTGCGATGACTACCGAAATAACTTCTTTTTTCCCGCCTATCCACTTACTCATTTTAGTTACTCTTATCTTGTTTGCCCCCTTGACATTATTTTCCAAGCTCCCTTTCTCCCTTGCTCGTCACCCATCCTCTCTTTTCCTGGCAGTCGGAACAACACTCCAGCTGTCATGTAGATTTGCAGTTCGGGCCGCGTAATAACCGTCCTGATTCGGCTTGCGTGCTGCAAGTCTCGCGTCGTATTGACTACGATCTTCGTCAACGCCTCGTCTCACCAAATGACCTTGTGATTGTCTGTATTTCTGGCGGCGGATCAGCGTTACTATGTCTGCCGAGGAGATGCTGTTCCAGTGAACCTACGACAGCAGAAAAAAAAATCAGATTTGCCACAGAAGGATTGACTAGGGGGATTCGAGGAACAGCAATGACTGGGGGGAAGAGAGGAGAAGAAGAGAAAGAACAGAGAGGGGAGTGGGATGTGCGAGATGAGGAGTGTGAGAGGTTTGATGTAAACGAGTTAGTCACCACTGCTGACTTACTCTCCTTTGCTGGTGCCAGTATCCATGAGGTTTGCTGCCCGAAAGTTAAATAACTTCTTTATTATTATTCAACTTCTTTTTTTTTGTATTAGAGTAGGGTTTCGAGACTACCAGTAAATCAGTGTAATGAGATGTATTCACCCTATTTC